ACATGCATGCATACATACATATACGTGTGTGTCTGTGTGTCTGTGTTGTTAGGTTGTCGATAGTTCTATATGCGTACAACTTGTTAACTACAACCCCAAAATGACCGTACACCTCAAACCCTGAATATACACCACAAAGCCACGAAGCACTGATGCAGTGAACCTGACGAGAACCTGACAAAGGGCTTGGGGGAATATCATATTTTGCTTTCTTGATTTTTCAGGGACTATACTGGAATATTACAGATAGTGGTAACCCTAAACCCTAAACCCTGAACCTTGAGTAATCCAGCCCCTAGTTCACTTCTGCAAGATTGACCTCTGCCGCCATAGGCACTGGCAGCTTCGCGGGCATGTGCCTGAAGTTTGCAGAGCCGCGAACGCAGGCTTTGGAGGTTGTACTATAGGGGCCTGAATGATTAGAATAGGGTTTTCGGTATTTTGTTGGATGGTAAAGATTTGAATAAGGAAAGCCGGGCTTACGGAACGCTTCGCCTTTGCTTTGGAGGTTGTGCGTGATTGAACAAGGCTTCTAGGTTGTTTTGGCTGAAGACTTGTGAAAGATCTGTGAATGAATCCGTGCATTTTTGTCTTTTGAAATACGTGTGTTCGCGTATTGCCCGGGCCTTTCCGTGAGCATGCTACGAAAGCGGCTGTTTCGAAACTCATCCTTGGATGTAAGTTTGGCTTCTTCAACCTTTTGCGGCTGATATCTTTCGGAACCTATAGGACTGCAGCTGCTGCAGTTGCTGCTCCTTCAAACGAGCTCTTTGCACTGCTGGCTTTACTGCGGTTGCAGGCCTTGAGGCCTCTGATTCAGGAATGAAAACTCTAATCATAAAATCCTTGCCATGTAACCCCCTCATTTACTTGAAGGAAGCCCTCTTTAGAGACCCCACTTGATACCCTTGCCTGTTCTGGGGGGCTAGGGCAGGTTTTGCCAATGTGTTGACACGAAGCATATGCGACTGTCAGAGACAATGCACAGCGCCCAAATGGTAGGAGCGTTATATGCCAGGGACACCTGAACAAGGTACCCAGAGACTCCAAAACCCCTTAATTAAGGAATATACCTTCAATCATATTAGGATCCTATTATAATTTAAGGTATATTCCTTAATTAAAGGGTTTTGGAGTCTCTGGGTACCCTAATTGAAGCTTGAAGGCTTCGGACAAGATGGTTCTCGAAGCACCTTGAAAGCAGTCCCCGAGGCCCTAAACTCTGCACCCCAATTGCCATAATCCCCAAATTTACATGCTTGGCCCTGAGCCAGCCTCAACTCCGAATATAACAAGCCTATATGTGCCCTGAATCCACGAACCCCTCACCCCTAAACCCGAAACCCTAAACCCCCAAACCCCGAAACCCCTGAACCCTAAAGCCCTGAATGCGCAAACCCTTAAACCCCTAGGACAGGACCGCTCAACCCCTAAACATCCAAACTCGCGAACCCTGCCTCCCTCGCAGCACCGAGCTTCCGATGAGCTGGATGGCCTGCTCCAGCGCCGAAGACGAATGGGCGCAGTCTGGCCGAGTGATGTCGGGGCCTTAATAATTAGAATAGGGTTTTTGAGGGCTATCTGCTATAATTATCGCAAGGAGCCCCAGAATAGTAAAGGTAGTTATTAAGGTCCCTACAGTATAGCGGCGCTCTCATAGTCTTTCGCAGGTCTTTGAGTGTTCACACTGTTTGGTCTGTGGTTTAGGGGTTCCAAGGCTAGGGGCAGATCAGGTTCAGCAATGGTGGCCTTGAGAAGTTTAGAGCCGTCATGGTGGCATGGAAAGGTGTTCCTCCTTTCCGACCGTTTCCAGACAGTTGCAATTTTTATCCAATCACAAGCATGTCCAGCAAAGAGTTGGGAGATGCAGACCCCCCCATCATAGATTATTGTTTGTAGGGGCCTTATAATAATTAGAATGGGGGGTATATTATACTATAGTTATAATAAGGAGCCCCCAAAATAATGTAGGTAGTTATTAAGGCCCCTATTGTAGCCCTTGAAGAGGAGGTGTGTTTGCTCATGATCCCTACGACCCAATTCCAGCAGGGACGGCTTTAGGAGCTCCTGCCACAGCTCCCTACAGCAACCTGTCATCCATGAGAAGGATTCCCACCGCGATCATTTCGGGTGATGTAGGGGCCTTAATAATTAGAATATGGTTTTGGGTGCCATTAGACTTAAAATTATAATGGGGAACCCCCAAACTAATAAAGGTAATTATTTAGGCCCCTACATTGTGCCTCTCCATGACCAGCGCAAAGACGAAGGGCGATTCGACAGCTCCCTGGTAAATGCCACGGGACTTTGTAATCTGGCCCCCATGAAGTCCTAAGACGTGCCCCTAGCACGAGCAAGCGCTTCCAGCACACAAATTCCAGGTGCATCTCACCAGGAAGCTGCGTCTGGAGACGAGCCAATACCTTTGGCGGTTCAGGGTGTCGTATGCCTTGGCTATATGCCTTGGCAATGTCTAGTTTTGCGGAACTGGAGCCCCATCTTCCAGTCGGTACTCTTAGCATGCTGACGGCCGAGCAGACAGAGTTTGCTGTCTGACGGCCAGGCTGGGCACGCTGTTGCGACCGGTTGCAGCCATACTCGCGCCCTCGCAAGCGATATCGACCCGAAGATCTTTCGTACTGATCCGGGGCAGCAGGTCGCTGGGGCTTTTTATTCGAGCCGTATTAGGCGGGTTACCACGGTGTGCAACCACGTCTGAGGTATGGGTTCACGGCAGTGGATGTTCCAGTGCCTTCTAACTCACAGGGCCTCAAAGAAAGAGGGTTTACCAATCAGGGGTCTGCATCCACGCATAGAGCTGAACTACTCCGGCAACGCTCTGCGATGCTGAAAGCATCAGGGTTGAACCTGGCCTGAACCCTAAACCCCTAAGCCCTAAACCCTCTTGGAGGTTCATGGGTAGTTATAAGTGAGGTTATAAGTAGGGTAGCTGTAAATATAACCCATATTAAAGGACCATGTATAACTACCCATGAACCTCCAAGCTGAACCGCCCTGACAGCTTGAGGCTTCTTTGGAGTTGCCAAAGTATCGGGTACCCGCTCTACCTGAACTTCTTGAACCCTAAACCCTAAACACTAAACCCCAAACCCCAAACCCTAAACCCTAAACCCTAAACCCTGAACTTCTTGATAACGTCAGGTCTTAGATCAGCGTGGGCAACACAAGCAACTGAAACGAAACCTGGCCTGCCCTAACCCTCCAGGTACCTACTATATAGGGCCCTAGAACCCTCTAGTACCCTATATAGTAGGTACCTGGGAGGTTAGGGCTGGTCCGGAATCGGGTTTACGGACTTGGGCTTTAGGGGTTCAGGTTTCAGGCCCTCTCGGGGCTACAGTCCACGCCTGCTCTCCAGAGCCTCTCCCAAAAGGCACCTGCTGCTGGGTCAGCGTAAGTCTCCTGGCAGGGCCAAGACAGCCGAAAACACACAGAGGGTCTGAAGAATGACACACTAAGTGCCTCGTTACTTGTTGCCATCTCGTACATCGATCTTCGGGTAGGTGTACCTCCACGCGCACGATGTGAGTCCCGCTGGCGTAGCCGTTCTTTTCATGGCTGGCATGACAGTACCAAAGTGTTTCTTTGATCAACAGCACGGCACGCACGCGCACGCGCACACCACACCAAACACACAACCACACACACACACACACACACACCAAAATCGAGCACTGGACCCAAACCCTCGACCCTTAAACCCATAACCCGAAACCCCACAGCCGCAAACCCGACAAGAAGAGTGGCAAGAAGTGTGCTCCTCGGCGAGAGCAGTCCCAAATTCGAGCTCCAGGAAGGCTGGGAGAATGACAAGAGACACCTGCTTTGGGGTTAAGGGGTTACTATAATAAGGGTTACTCCAAGGGTTACTATGTTTAAGGCTTTCTTGTCACGGAATCGGAAAGGGTTCAGGGCTTAGAGGATTCAAGGGCTACTGGCTTTAGTGGTTTTATGGTTTGGGTTTTGGGTTTAGGGTTTAGGGTTTAGGGTTTAGGGTTTAGGGTTTAGGGTTCAGGGGTTCGGGAGCAATCCGCTTGTTCCGATTCTATCACGGGCCCCATTATGCTGGGTGTCTATCTTCCTATCTACCTCCTACCTATTTTCCTATCTGCCTTCTGTCTACATACCTACCTATCCCTCCATCCATCTATCTATCCATCTTTATATCTGTCTATCCAGCTATCCATCTATCTATCCGTCTATCTATCTAGATGTGTACATTTGTACATGTATGTGTATATATATATATATGTATATGTATATGTATATGTATATGTATATGTGAGTGTGTATATATATATATAACCAGAAACCTCAAAGCCTCGCATGCAACACGGCTCGAACTTCTCAATACCAGGGGGGGGGGGGTTCAACATCCGAAAAACATCAACGGTCCTCAACTTCAGCTACTCATGTAGTACTTAGGGATATTTAAAGGCACCTTTGCGGGGCCTGCAAGCGATCTACATATAGCAAAGAAATTGCACAAGGGTTTAGGGTTTCACGGTTGCTGGGTTTCGCAGCTCGGGAAGACTTGTGTTTGGATTTGTTTGGTATAGTTCTAAACCCTAAACCCTAAAAGCCCTAAACCCTAAAAGCCCTAAGCCCGAAGACGATAGTGTTCGCCTTGGCAGTCGGGCACATGGTCCAACGGCGGTTTCATGATCTTGCCATACGGGTTGTATTTGCTTTGCAGCTTTTCGCTGCGCTTCCAGTCCAACAGAATGAATTCATTCCTAGTCTTGACAAGATCAATCGATCCAGCAAGGTCTTCTTCAGGCGCATGGACACACCACTCAGTCAAGAAGACGTGGACGTCATCGATGTTGGCAAGAAACTGGATCGCTGCACGAACCTCAGCCTCCATTGGCCCGGCAAGAATCTGGTACCCGTTAAGCGCATGCTCCAGCATTGCATGCATTCATGTACCGGAGTTCGCGGCATGGTCTCGCTTTCGGTCCCAGAGTTTCAAGATTGCGTTGTCGTCTCAGATAAATTAGCAATAAAATTATTTTTATATTTATTATAATAATAATAATAGTAATAATATATTTATTGGTTTTTGTAATAATCAAGCATGAGGCGATTCATGAAATCTTCCCAGTCTGCAAGGTCCTTGCGGCTATCTTCCCTAAAAAGCCCTAAACCCTAAACCCTAACAGCCCGAAGCCCAAAACCCTGAACCGCAAGAGCCCTAAGCCCGACACCCGAAACCCTGTAGGGGCTTAGGGTTACTTAAGCCTCTCGCGCTCAGCTTCGACTTCGGATGCCCATCTCCCGGTTCAAGGCTTCGAGGTCTAGGGTTTTTGTAGTTCAGGGTTTCAGGGATTCAGGGTTT